ATTAGAGTATAGGAAGCATTTAAATACATTGTACATCTCGAGATGCACTGATTGGAATTCTATTAGGTTACGTTAAGATCAAAAAAAACTAAGCTAAACTTAGGATTTCTAGAATACGTAGGCCTAAAGCAAAACTTTAGCTATACTTAATAAGAAGTTTTACTTTATTAAGCGGCTATCGTTTCCAATACTCGCCCTAGAGTACTATTAAAGATTAGGCTCGTGGTTAAATAAAGTATCTTCTAGTCTCACAAGCTACATTTTCTCTCTTATTTCAATTTCATTATTAATTCCATCGCCGGTTCTATCGTCGGATTTATTATCTCTATAGCTATACTTCTTATTATATAGTCCCCGTAGTTTCAAACTCGTTTGAGGAGATAGCTAAAGCTCGAACATAGAGGACTTTCTATAGCCCTAATCAATGGCTTCGCTTAAATACTCCCAGCAAATATCAGTACTACAATATTTCCATTCTAAACCATCGATGATGAAAATCTAGGTATCCCTATAGCTCTAAGGTTTACTCTAGCAATATTCCAACCGATTAAGTACATAACTAGCAAAGTATATAGTAGATTAAGACTCCTTATACTTAGTAGTACTAAGTTTTAGAACTCTAAATCCTTGGATCCATTCTCTTAAGAGCTTTAGTAATTCGGGATATCCTTTTAAATATATCTCTCTAGATATTTCACAGCTTTTTAAGGTTTCAATCTATTTATATATTGGCTCGGGAATTTAATTTATATCGACTAGATACGTAAGCGTATTGCAAAGCTTAACGTAGAGCTTACGTTTAAGTAGTCCTCTCAATACGGTCCTTAGTTTTTATAGGCCAGCTAATATAGGATAAATAGGGACTACACTTATATAAAACTTCGTAAGGTATCTTTTAGAGGAGGCCTCTTTACAGTAAATCGAGCGGTATACACTACGAAATTAGAAACTAAAAATTAAGGAGATCCTATTTTATTTATACTTACTTCTTAGAAAGAACAAGGATTTAAAATACGTCTAGACCTCCTTAGTGGGGCTTTCTCCCAATGCTAGGTCCGAGAGGTATTAAGAAGAGATATAACCATCTTTAGCGCCTTTCGTACTCGTAGTATAAGGCTAAATATTAGTAACTATATAGAAGAGGACGAGGTAGCCCCTAAAATAGTTCCCTATTTCTCCCCCTACTAGGCTTTTATTAGTTTTAGAAGTCCTATAGCTTCAAGATGCTAATATATTCTCCAACTAGAGGGGCACTCTAAACTCCCCGATAAGATTCGACGTATTTTAAAGAAGGGGAGCTAAGAGGTAAATCTACGCGAGTTATTATAATTTAAGTTCTTTATATACTTATAATAGATGCAAGTCACGTAAATAGTTAAGAATTATTACTAATAAGACCCTATAATCTACCGTATTAGTACATTACTTTACCTTATATACCTCGATTAGCCTCTCATTTAAAGCTATAAATAATAGAGTAAGTAGAGACGCCTTAAGAAATATATATAGGCTATTCTAGATTAATTTACTAGTAATTATATATAGAATATAGACTAGTACCTATAAGTAGAGAAAATAAAGAAATATTTTCGACTAGATTATATTACCGCTAGCTAATACCCCTTAGCCCTAGCGGCGAGTCGAGGGTACATTACGAAATTTTACTTTACTTATTCGTCTTATATAGAATAATAACCCCGACGTATATATTACTCTATACGATTAAGATTATCGCCTTACGTATAATTCTCTAAGACTATCCTTATTAAGGCTAACGATTATAAGCGATATAATTATTTAAATACCCTTAGTACAATATAAATATAGGATGCCCTATTTATAGCTAGTAGATTATTACGTCGAGAAATCGCGTATTTAAATAGGGTTCTTATAATATAAATTAATATAAATAAGGTTATTAGGTACTACTCGTACTAATAGGTAGGACTACTAGTAGAGTAGTATAAATAGTCTTAATATTAGATCTATCTCTTAATTATAAGTAATACCTTAACGTATCTATCGTAGTAAGCTTAAAGTATAAGGTTCCCCTAAGACCCGTATACGGTGAGTAGCTCTTATATACTAGAATCTCGGCGTTCGCTTAGCGGCGCTTATCCGTTCCTAATAAGGTAGTATAGATACTTTTCTTTTTAAAGGTTAGCCTAGGTATTCTTAGGACTAAGGAGGAAGTATTAAAGGGTTAAGTAAAGGCTATAGACTATAGCTATATTAATTCCCTTTAGCCTATATATATCGGCTACCGACTATTACAAAATAACCTAGGAAAATTTATATCTATACTTATAAGAGATTAGAATCCTTAGAAATATTATCCGAGAAATCCTAAGTCACTAAATCGCTCTTTAGCTATATTACGGAGTATTTACGGTATAATTTTTTAAGCTTAGCTAGTACTGTAACCTCCCGCTTAACGACGAATTATTAAGGATCTAGTCTAGATACCTTTAGACGTAGGACGATTAGACGGATAATTAGTAATTCCTTAGTCATTATTGGTAATCTATATGGAAGCGTATGAAATAGGGACTATATATATTGGATGAAAGCAGGGCCAGAAAAATAATAAAATAATAATGAGAATTACTTTAAGTCTTAGCATAACATCCTATTCATAACAATTATGACGAAGACTGATGATAAAATATGAATGGAGTAACGATGGCAGTCCTATATACAAACAACACCGTGTCACTACGGGGCTGCAGTCCCAAATTGTCTAACGGAAATTGCTACGCAATTTTCATAACCGTCTCTCATATCCAATCTCAAGAGTTTGTCAAGCGTATCTCCCATGTTCACATGACTAGGCCCGTAGACGCCCGTAACGGGGGATGGAGCCGGGGCATCCCTGCCTTGTTGTCGATATCTCTCGTGCTGGTCTTATCTCCTCCTTTCTTCCCACAACCTTTGCGTTTTATTGAAAGAATCTTTCCCGTCACGTTCACGCCTATGAGGAGTGTTGGTCACTCGGTGTCCATCAGAGCATCCATGGACGTACAAGGCCAGCAACTTGAACAACAGCTCTCCTCGTTCTGCTTCGGACCATAATGCCAAACTCTTCGGGGATTGAATCACTCCCTGCCGAAGGTCCTTGAACCAATATTTTTCGATAGTCGTAACGGAAATCTGCTTCTAGCAGCACCCAGAGCGGCCGTTAAGATCCATGGTCAGGCGGTATACCGCGCGGCCTTCCTAATTGCATTCTACAGTTACCAACTTTGAAGAGACTGCCGCGCTGTTGGGTATCAACAATCTAATCTTTTTCACAGACCAGCCTACGCAAGCATGGGATATCCGATCCATGGCAAAAGCGGTTCTTGGGAGCCGCTGGTGTACTTGTGGATGGACCAGAGAGTATCTGTTTTCACTCTTTGCCAGTGTCGTTCAGGACTCCAGGATCATGCTTGGCAGAAGTAACTTATTTGCCGATGATCGCCTTGCACGACGCAAGTCGCTCGACGTCTACGCTCACTCCATTTACCGTTAGAGCAATGCGAGCACTGACCCAAGCTCGCTTTCCCCTCTTTCTGACCATCATTTTAATATCGTTCTAGAATTACTGCAGGGGTTGTTGCAGAGCTAGATTTCCTCCAGTGTGATTTTCATCCCGACTGAGTGGTCTCACGCGGTCTTCACGACGAAGGGCAGGTTTTCTAATCTCGATTGACTGCGCCACTAAACGAACAGTATGGACATTCTCCCAGTACCTACGATAACAACTATATCTTGAGGTAGAGACTAAAAAGTAGGCCAATTGCTTCTTCCTTTTCCTTGATTGTCTGGAGGTCGCACCGGAACATGGAGAGCTTTCAACAGCGTCATGGTCTTGGACGAACATTGAGGACCTTCTGCGGAAGCATCCAGATGACGAATGTGTTATACTATGTGTGCAGGGTTTTCCGTTTGTTATTCTGATCAAGAAGCAGAGCTGCAAGGGAGATGAATGCCGTTGGTGAAGTCTCAACAACCTGACTAGGTTTTGCTTTAGCGAAGCCGCTCGGGCTTCAACAAGAATTGCGCTCTATCAATGGCTATATCTGACATGGCGAAGTGAATATGCCGGTAGTCGGCTTCCTATTCAAGTGGAATAAAACTCGCTCTAGCTGAATGTAGGTCTAAAGTGGAAATTCTATTATTCTCGTTTGTTGATCAGTTGGTGCTATATTTCCTGTGGACGGCGAATAGAAAGAGCGAACGTACTTTTACTAAGGATAAAACGATTGTGCCTCGCTTTCTGCCGGGATGTCTGCTTTATGCTTTATACGATAGGCTCAGAATCTTCCTTCGACTCTCATCTACAGGTTAATAGGTCCTGTATGTCTCATCGGTTGGGAAGTGGGCCTTTCTGCTTAGGCATTCGCTGTGGCTTTTCCGCGGCCCGACGGACATGCTTAAGCGGGAGGTTGCGGTCGCAAATTCGGTAACGAGCTACCTCCGACTGTCGAGTTTGCCCGCGTTCTGTAAGATACTATTCAATTTCACGTCTCGCTGATCTATTTCTCATCCTTGCTCTGGAGTTTCGTGGACTTATCTACCCTGCATCAACCAGTCCTTACGAGAATAAGATGGCCATCCAGAAAGACTCAACGGCCTCTGTTGGGGAAGACCAGCTCGATGAGACCGATCAGTACGAGCCCACAAAAGAACACCAACTACAGGAAGTGGAGATAGTTCAGTCATCGGTTCTACAATTCTTTCCTACTGCGCAAGACAAAGTCACACCCAAAACATGGGCCGTGGTTATCGTAAGCCAGCCATCTCTAAGTGAAGATTCTGCTGACCTGACGACGTTGTAGAGTTTGTCTGCGTGTGTTTTGAGTTGCCCTTCTATGGCCACTCCTCCATACTGACGTCTGGTGGCTAGAGGATTCGGCTTCTCCTTCTGGATCATCCCTATTGTTGCAAATATTGGGCCGCAGCTTGCCAATGAGCTGGGTAACCGTGCAGACTACGCGTGGTTTATAACCACCTATACGATGTGCAACGCCGCAACATCGATGGTGTTCGGGTCCTACTCCGACTTGTTTGGAAGACGTTGGTTCATCATATTTGGCAACACTATTGTCTTTGCTGGACTCATTATCGCCGGAGCAGCAAAGAATACAGATACGTTTCTCGCTGCATGTGCGATAAGTGGACTTGTACTACCAGAAACAAAAATTGGTCGCGTCCGGCAAGCTAATGAGAACATAGGGGGGGGGACTTGCCCAACAGTCGGCTTGGGCAGTGCCTGAGTTGCTTCCGAATCGAGTTCGGCATATTGCTCTGGTCATAACAGGTTCGGTGTCCTATCTGTCTTTTTGAATCTCTCTAAATAAAGACTTAGAGGCGAGCACTTGGACTTGCGTTACGCTTGGCCCTGTTGCAGCTCGACTAGCGTTCCACGAAGGAGCAAAAGTACGTACTTCAATTTTCCATACCTGGGAATGACACTGATTTGAAAGTGGCGGTGGCTGTTCTATGGGCCTGCAATTGGAGCAGGTCTTAACGCTGCGTTTTTATCCTGGTTCTATTTCCCACCGAAACATCCTCGAGGAGTTCCCTGGGATAAGGCAATGAAAATTATAGACTACGTTGGAGCGGCTTTGTTTACTGCTGGTGGCATACTTGTCCTGCTAGGTATAGTTTACACTAATCTCTTACCCGCCTCCAACCCCCGTGTCGTGGTACTGCTCAGTGTCGGGTTCGCCGTCATTATCGCGTTCGCCTTGTGGGAACGCTTTATGCCAATGGAAGCGCCGCTGTGCCCTCCAAAGATATTTGCGAAAAGCTGGGGCCGAGAATTCACATTTCCTCTCCTGGCGGCAACTATCATCAACATGTTTTATTATTCCACTAATATTGCCTACATTAGCCAGGTGAGTGTTTCACGAGCTTCGGCTCCATGACCTGACAATAAGTAGATGAACATATTATATACCGACTCGTATACTCCGCTGTCCTACGCACTCAAGCTGACCTTGCCACAAAACATGGGGATGATGTGTGGACAGGCTTTGCTGGCACTCACCGGGTATGGATTTTGCACCAGTCTCCTTGCTTTTCAGATTTCCATGAGCGCTGAAAGTTTCCAGTTCCTGGATAAAATGGTGGAGAACTCAGTACTTTATCTCAACGCTGTGGATGGTGCTATTCGGTACGCTATTGGCCTTAGGAAACCAAGACAACCGAGGCATGATGATGAGCTTTGCGTATCTTTGTCAATTTGGCTACGGATGGTCTCTCACACTGAGTTTCGCCTTCATTCAGCTTGGCGTGGATCAGGTTGAGCTAGGAGTCGCCGGGGCTTTGGCGTAAGTCATCTTTGGGCGTGACGTGTACAAGCATAAAGCATCTGCTAACTCGAAGAAGCGGTGTTGGTCGCTGGACCGGCGGTTCAATTGCCTCGTCAGTGTACACAACGATCTTGACGAATTCATTGACATCGGAGTCGGCCAAAAAGATCCCCGCTGCGGCTGTCAGCGCCGGTCTATCCGAGCAGATGATACCGGTACTCTTCAAAGCTCTCCCTAATGGCCTGGCGGCAGTTCAGCAAGTTCCAGGACTTAGCAGTGTGGTGGCAGCCACAATCTGGAAAGCATGGCAAGATAGCTACATCATTGCGATCAGGTAGGCCGTGATTCCTTCTCACCAAGCATGGGCATGGTAGAAATCAACACACTAATCATCGAGTAGGAACGTTTGTCTTGCTTCACTAGGTTTCGGTATAGTGGCACTGGTCCTCGTTATTCCCTGTCGAGACTTGGCTCCGAAGATGACGCCGAAAAGTAAGTAACATTTTTCCATAATAAACCATACTGACGGAAGACACTCACAGTCGAGGTCTTTTTGGAAAATGACGTGAATGCGGCCAAGAACCGTTTCCACTGAGGTCAACAGAACACTGCTCCCTATCATGTGGCAATGCAGGCCACTCTAGACCGAGCAACTTTCTGTACGCGGCTGAAAGGCGAGCCTTCGGGAAGATGTTCAGTGGATGTCAAAGGTTGTCGACCGGAATGCCTATTGCACACCATCATCCATTTGATATGCCAATCTGTCCCATTTATTGTACAGAGAAACAGAGATATCTGTGGTGGCGATAGTGAGATATATGCGTAAACTATTTGTAAGAGTGTAAGTTCGATTGATTGGCTCTGGTGACTTTATAAGATCGATCTTGCAAAGCAATTTCACTTCCGGCTGTGGCCTATGATCGTAGGACGCGAATCTCGTTGATACCACCACGAACAATGTTGTTGGCGGCCAGGGGGACGAACTAGTGTTGACAGAGTGGTATTTAACAGTCCAGCGTCTCCTGTGTCGAATCGTACACTCTATGGTCAGTAGACTACATGCGGAGCTTGGAAAATTGTTCGTACACTAGAGCAGGAGCCCGTCAATGCGACCGCCAGCCTCATAGTCGCACGCAAGTCTCCCGATTTGAACGCTCCGAAAAGCGCCTTTGACGTCCCAATTGTCCTAAAACACGTCAAGTATTACTTGGTCACGAACTCAGATGCACATGCATGATATAATGAGTTTGCCTATGTACCCATCCTCATTCAAGTGGATGGGTAAGCACTGGCGGGATGATTTTAGCGTCCACGAACCGCTGAAAAACACTGAACCAAGCCTCCTCTTCACTCCGTTCTTCCACAAAGCCAGCCTGGCGGGACTTTTTAATAGACAACTGACGATCAAAGTCCATAAGGCCTGTCATGAAAATGAAGATTGATGGGTTCAACAGATCGTTATCCACGAATCCTGCTCGAAGGTCATTTTCGCGAACAACTTGGTCCCATTGTTCCCGATGTGCCTGTATGTAGGCAATCGGTTGTATGGTGCAGTTCAGTGGGCCAAAACCTTGAAGCCCAAAGACGGAACATATTGTAGGCCAAATTCTCGACCACGATGTCGGCTCTTGCTTGTCACCCACATTATATGCTGCTCCGTGGCCCATGGTATCTGGGTGCAAAGAGGCATATGTGCTCAACTTTGCAATTGTGTCTTGTGATGCCGGAACAAACTTAGCATGATAAGCCCCTTTTGACCCTGGAAATGCAACAGTGCTTCCTTCTCCTTCAATGTATTTGTATAAGGCGAGGTATATTCCTAAGATTTGAGGCAGACAATGCGGATTGTTGTTTGGGACAAATCCAATGACCAAGTCTGCGCGTATCTCACACCAGGTCCACTCTTTTTCTAGTGACAGGTCTCTCAACACCTTGGTCTGCGCTGTATATAGCAGTTGACTGCCATGAGGCTCTGGTAATGGAGGAAGGTCTTCAGAAAGTGGTAAATAGTTGCCGAATGGAAACCCAGTTTTCATAAGGTGCATTCCATATACCTAGCTAAGTTAGCCATTTCGTAATTCAGTCAATCATTTTGAGGCTCGTCGTAATGTACACACCTTAGCTCCAGTCAGAAGCACCACAAATTCCAGCCGGCAGCTTAGGGAAGCAATGACTGATATTGCATTTTGGAGCATCTGAGTATTTACTGTCCTCTCTGCAACCTGGTCAGGAAGCCATCGATATGCTTTGGTACTGATGATTAGCCTTTTTCCGTTCAAAAACAGGTCTCCATACCACAGTAGTAAACATGAGTGATTGCATCTATGTCTAATATCTTCTCGCGGAAATTTTTCTCGAGGCTAGCTTTAGAAGTGCCGTTGAGCTCCAGGCCATGCACAAGTTGCAGACGGTCGCTCTGTGGCCACAATAAAAATTTCTGAACCAGTGGTCTGTTGGTCACCGCTGTAACCTTTGAAAAGGTGTGCTGATTTCTGTCATCCAGAAGCTCCCTCACTATCGCCCAACCCTGAATCCCTGAAGCTCCCAGGACTAGAGCGTGCTTTAACATTCTATAAGTGTAAGCCAGTACTACCAACTGCCTGGGTACAGGGGCATTCTGTGGGTCTCCGTACTAGAAAAAGAACAGTAACTGACTCGTCGTTTGAGGGCATTTATGTAAGAATGGAGCCAGATCGGTTATTTGGTGTAAAGAACTGGAAAAGAATAGCCGATAAAGCAGATCTCTTCCGACGGGCACAGAGGTTTCCCCATTTCGGTAAGAGCTAGTAGCTGCTCTCTGCTAAGAAAACTCAGATGGGAACTTCGACGAAAGCTAGGCGATGCATTCGGAAGCATCGCAAATCTGCTCGGAGGACGTAATGGGCAAGGTCAGGTGAACAAAGGTAGTACTAGTACGCGACCGGGATATTATCAAAGCGGTCCTTGAATTTGCGGATACATCCGAACGATTCCACTCACGGACTTCGGCAGAAAGATCGTGCATGTTGAACACAGCCAGATAGATAGGGAAAGAGTAGTCAATAGGGGTAACCTGCATCTCGCCATTAAAGTTGAAGCTTAGAACTAGTTGAAGCTCTGGACTAAGAGTGTAAGTGTGATGATATTAGAACTATCTGTGAGGATAGGCACGGCTACTTATAGCCGTGATACTCGTAGGCAGCATTGCTGCTGCCTACAGGTATCACGTGATATGGGATCCAACTGAACTGGGAATCAAGTGTGATGATTCAGGAACTGTTTATGAGGGTAGGCATGGCTACTAGTACTTGTAGCCGTGACACTCGTAGGCAGCAGCAGTGATATGGGATCCAACCATTAGAGGCGAGGGGCCAGAAATAACTCAACTCAACTCCACTCTAAATGTCGCAGACTCAACAAAGCCCTGAGCTGACGCACTTTAACTTTCGGTGGTCGTAGGAGAATGACTCCGTGTGCCCTCTTGACTGGATATCTGAAATTCTAATAGTCATCGCACTGACATGCCATCTGCGTGGATACCGGGTCTTCATGGGCGGTATTATCCGCAAACTCCACGGGAAAAGTATAGCCGCCTCCATATCACATTGAGGACGATCCTAATCAGCAGTGATCATCTACATCCTGCACCCTAGTTTTGGAATAGTTTGCGGTCGCTGTCGGGATGTGGATGCCACATTATGTGGAGGTACGTAATTCATTGCGTGGAGGAAATCGAATCATTCTAATATACAGTAGGCATTCAGACAATATCATTTGCAGGACAAATTCTTTCCTGTGATTTGAAGATCCATCTGCTTTCTAAGGACGCCAATATGTTGGCTGCAGCATTTGTTTTATCTGGTCTAGTTGGATTGAGCATTCAGCAGTCAACTCCCTTGCCAAGTGTCGTAGTTAAGAACGGCACTTACCATGGATTACACCAAACGACATACAATCAAGATCTCTTTCTGGGTATCCCCTATGCCCAGCCTCCCGTTGGAAATTTAAGGTTTCAACTCGCACAGGCGCTGAATACCAGCTGGTCTCAGCCTCGTGACGCAAAGGTGTACTCTCCAGAGTGCTTTGGATATGGTGTAAGCGGCAGTTCGCTACCAAATTCACTTGCTGATCTGCTGTGTTCAGAGTGACCAGGTAGGACACAACATAAGCGAAGATTGCTTGGCTTTGAATATTGTAAGACCAGCAGGCCATGAGGGAGAACTTCTGCCGGTGGGAGTTTGGAGTATGTCCTTCCACTTTCCTTGCTAAAAATGATTGATTTTTGGGTAATACTTACTACTCAAGTCCACGGTGGTGGTTTTCTTATGGGAGGGACCTCAGATCAGCGATACAACCTGAGCTTCATTGTGCAAAAGTCGGTCGAGATGGGGAAACCCATAATTGGTGTTTCTATCGCATATAGACTTTCTTTCTGGGGGTTTTCTGACTCCGAAGAGGTCAGAAAGGCAGGCGTAACAAATCTCGGTCTCCATGATCAACGAAAAGCACTGCAATGGATTCAAGAGAACGTCGGTAGTTTTGGTGGTGACTCATCCAAAGTTACAATCTGGGGCCAGAGTGCTGGTGCTGGTTCGGTAGGCACGCATTTGATTGCTTACGGTGGTAGAGATGATGGTTTATTTCGCGGCGCCATCTGCCAGTCTGGTAACTCAATTCTGCCATTAAGTCCCAATTACAATGTTAGTGATGGGCAGTTGGCTTACAATAACATCGCATCCATTGTTGGCTGTCGCAACACATCTGACACGCTAAAGTGTCTCCGCGAAGTTGACACGAAGACCCTGAATTCCGCTATAAATGCCACATTCCGACTCTTCCCTCCAGTGCGCGACGGCACACTAATTCAAGACTCCATATATGACCAGCTTCAGAATGGCGCATTTATCAAAGTGCCCTTAATAAGTGGAACGAATACTGATGAAGGCACCGGGTTCGGACCTAGGGGTATCAGCAGCGACACAGCCTTCGCCCATTACCTTAGCAGCAAGTCAACCAAGGCCTCTCTTAACGAGTCAATCCTTGCAGCACTTTTGGCAGTCTATCCAAATTTGCCAGCCGCAAGTGATGTACTCTACAATATTCCACTGAACTTCACCCAGTTCAACACTACTCCTGCGGTGCCCGCGCCCTACAACACTCCGGATACGCTCAGCAACACAACTTATGGTAGCCAGTGGCGACGCTTGGTTGCATTCAGTGGTGACTTTGAGTTTGCTGGCCCCCGTCGGCTTCAGTGCCAATCTTGGTCCCGACATAATGTTTCAGCTTACTGCTACCGCTTCAATGCGGTCCCATCAGGGTACCCGCCGGAGATAGGCAGTGCACACTTTGACGAGGTGGCATTCGTATTCAACAATCTCGATGGGCTAGGATACGCTATCAATCCTTTCCAAGACCAACCCCAATCGTATACAGATTTGAGCGATTTAATGACCAGAATGTGGGTGAGCTTTATTCACGACGGAAGCCCCAACCAGCACGGAGTACTAGACTACGAAGAATGGCCTATATATGATATCCAGCAAAATGGGGGTGTTGGGAAGGACTATTTTTTTACCTCCACTCCCAAGAGTTCTATAGAGACCGACGACTGGCGAATTGCTGGGATAAACTACCTGAACTCGCTGTGGAAGACAGTATATGGGATGTGAGTTGCGACATTTGTGTCTACTACATGTGCTCGATGGTACTCATCGTAAAGCACCATGATTTCTAATACAGAAAAGTCGTCGATAGATAATTTGGAAAACGAAGGCGTGGCAGGCTCATTTTGCCCACAAGTTCAGAACCAACGTGAGGACAACTTTGCTCCGGCGGCGTAGTAGGAAACGTAAAGTCCATTGATCCCACAGCGGAATTTTCAACATCCGCATTCGGGACTTCCTTATTTGCTCTCCTTTCTGTGTCCATGCTTTACAATCTCAAAGCCTTCAGTTTTCGGCTCTACAAAGTCGGGATGGAGCTGAGATTTTTGTTTTCAAAGATCCTCGCCACCTCCTCAAGACCACGCCGCTGATGTTTGTTGGTAGATCACGAAGTGCTCACCTTGGTTTTGGGAACATGAAGTAGACCATCATAACGACAATAGAGAGCCAGACGCAGCAGAGAATATAGTACTTCCATCCCAAGTTCCTGAGACCGATAGGGTTGACAAACTGGTGAAGAAGCTCGCGTCTTTGATTGACCCCATCGACAACGTAACTCCCTTTGCTCGGATAGGGAAAGGTCTCTGTAGCGATGGGGATTTGTAGTGTCTAATTGGTCAAAGAGAGTCCTCCTTACCCCTGTCAAAAGAGATGTTGCCTATTAATCGAAGCACTTGCGTCCAATTGTCACCTTCAAGGACCAAGAGGAAGAGACGGCTGAAAAGTCCCTGCTTCACTCTAGGACCGAAGGCATTGAGCCATTGCCACAATATGGCGCCGTAGGCGTGATCTGAATGGCGTTATCATCTTCCCACAACTGCTGAAATCCCTATGAAGGACTTGCCATTGTCGGTCTTGGAGCAAGTCTGCTTTAAGCTAGCAAACCCTTGTAATATCTCCAGGACTTTGCATCATCTGATAGAACAGGTAAAGATAAGGCCAGATCTTGTCAACTTCGGCTGCGGCAGCATTGATACGGAAGGTAATCAGCACAACGTGTCGGATCCCAAGCATCTTGTCTGTTTGTATTCTGCCCAATCTACCAGACCAGGTGCAAGTTCGTCCTAGATGTTTATCAATTGAACCACAGCCATATAAAGCATGGCGCGGGGTTATATGCTTGCGGGGCTATCTCTCTGTATCTCCTTCTTTGACAGCTCTTGGGTCTTACAGCTATCGATTCAGTGCGGCCACAAGGGAGTTCAACCAGCCTTCGAAATAGGCTTTTCAACTGCGGGTCAAAATGAGGAGGCCCAAAAAGGGTCGATATTTATTTGTTTGTTGACAATATCAGTCTTCTATCCTGACTACGGGGACTCGCAGGTCACGTCAAGTGTCATATGCTCTTTATGGAGCGTGTGTCAAGAAGGTCGCTCTACTCCGAGCTACCACCATATGAAACGCGCTTGGTTGTCAGATTACATTGCTCGCTCAGACATCACAAGACCTTCATTTTCCGCAGCCTCCTCACATTTCTGCAGGAATTTAACATGGCCGACATGTGAACAGGGCGAGGGGCCATGGGGACGAGGGCAGGCACGTTCGCATATAAGATCTCGGACTTTTGAAGCTCGTGGCCAGTAGCTGTAGTTGGGAAGATAGTCAATTCAATGGCTGAAGTTAAGTGCTGGTGAGACTGTTATATGCGGGACCCATCGATGCCCATTTTTAGCCACAGGTACATTTCACGTCTTGCTACGACGCTCATTCTCTTGCTGAACAATACAACGCGTTTCTTATCCGGGTGCCAGACTCTCAGTACAGCTTCAGTTTCGAAACCAACGAAGTATCCAATCCATCCCCGTGGTTGGAGGAGGGTCTTTTGTCTATGCTCTGGTGGGTAGGTGACATACACCCGACTGCCGAAGATTCGTTCGGTGTCGAGGTTCGGTTTAAGTTTATAGAAAGCCTCCTAAGGTGTTATCTTCCCCTCGAGAGCGCGTAATAGTGATCTATTTTTAATCTAGATTATATATAAGAAGGCTTTAACCTATAGTATTTCTAATAGGGAAACGTTCCTCATTACTTCTTCTATACGTATACTAAGGATCTTAGAAATTGTCGCCGAGACGCTATTTATTGCTTTCCACATTATTACTGATGCTCGTTCTCTATCTGTACGGAAACCTCTTTCGGTAATACCGTTCATATAGTGCGTATAGGGTACTAAGTTCTCTAGAGAGATAATATATTATTGGAACTAGTCTCGAAGCTCTCTATATTATAGAAATTTATTGTCGAGTCGGTATACGCGAATTATTATGTTATTCCGTCTTTTAATAGTCCGATGAAGATGTCGGAAAACTTCCGGAATCTTGTCCTTAGTTATATATCTCCCTAACTAGGTAAAACGAGTTATATTATCGGTTATAGCTAAAATATATATAGTACTATCCTATACGCTAATAGAATATAGTCCCTAGGTATCTATATATATTATTTCTCCTAGATTCGTAGCTCGTCGAGTTACCGAATCTCTAGGGATTCTATTTACTACTCTAGTAGTAGCGTAGATAGGGTAGATAGTACCTAATTTTACCTATAATTATTTATTAGTTAGATTAATACTATTATTTATTTTAAGAAGATCTCTTAAGCTCTATACGCTAAGGTATTCTATTCGTCTATACTATTTCTAGACTAAGTTATCGTAATTAAGTAGAGATACAACGAAAGGTAGCTGAACTCCTAGCAGAAGTTATTAGTCTAGAGTCCGCGTAGAGTCTTCTCCTACTACTTTAGAATTTCTTATAACGTTCGCTCGTAGTAAGATTAGTTCCCCTTAACTCGGTTGAAGGTTATTTAGGTATTCTAGTAGGTTAATTTATAGGTGAAAGAGTCTATTAATTAGGCTAGTATAGCTAATTTTAAACCCTTTAGTAGTTCTAATAGATATTCCTTTAATCCCCTAAACTCCTATAAGCCTTACTTTTTTAGCGATCTAAGAGAGTAATAGAATATCGTACCTAGCGTCCTAAGTATAGGCTATATTATCTAACTCTAGCTTAACTAGTATTAGGTACTACTCGTACTAATAGGTAGGACTACTAGTAGAGTAGTGTAAATAGTCTTAATATTAGATCTATCTCTTAATTATAAGTAATACCTTAACGTATCTATCGTAGTAAGCTTAAAGTATAAGGTTCCCCTAAGACTCGTATACGGTAAGTAGCTCTTATATACTAGAATCTCGGCGTTCGCTTAGCGGCGCTTATTCGTTCCTAATAGCTTATTCGTTCCTAATAACTAGTTTATTACTATTAGTAGTAAGCTAGAGAAGTATAGTTCTAGTCCCTTCGATATATAGGCTATCGTTATTTATAGTTCTAACGATATATATAATTTTCTAGAATTTAGAAAACTATACTTTATTATTTATAATATAGATATTTATACCGGAGTTAATAATCTACTTAGAGCTTCGTTCTACTATATTATCCTTAAGTAGTATTATCGTTTAGGGATTAAGACTATCTATAAGTCGTAGCCTTTTTTAATATAGATAGTTACCTAGATTATTATATTTTAGGACGTTACTTTCGTCCTTTATTAAGGTATATTTATCTAGGTTCGCTATCCTGTCGCTTAGTCCTCTATTAGTATATTTTACCTCCTATTTACTACGATAGAGTATAGAAGTAGCTATAATACTACCAAAGTACTCGCGAAGTCTTCGTAGTCGAGCCTATATCTATAATAATAGATCGTAAGTTAGCTCGAATTACTCGTTAACCGGCCGCTACTTATATTCGTAAAGCGAAGAATATATTTCTTATCGACGTAGGTAGTTATATCGTAGTCTATATTTCGAGTTTCGATAGAAAGTTAATTAAAACTAGTAACGAGATCGTCGTCGCGACGAATTCGAACGAAATTATATTTAAATATTTTAATTTTTAAGGTCTAGATTAAAATAATTCCTAAATAATTCGCGAGAATTAGAAAGCTATTCGTAGTACCTTAGTATATTTCCTAGGTAAAATTAACGATAATAAAGACTAGAAGTTTAAGGCTAGCGAGAAGAATAAGTTTTATATTACTAAAAGTATTACTTCTTCCTTATCGGTGTTTTAGTCGTAGCCTAGCGTAACTTAATTTACTATAGGAGCCTAGGGAGCCTAGGGCTACTTAGCGCTTATTCTATATTCTATAAGAAC